CCCCCCCCCAAAAAAAAAGGCAACAAAATGAACGGATTTCAGGACAATGAGTTCGGTGCCACATATCATGAAAATATTTTTGAAAGTCATTTCAAAAAGATTCAAGGGGGAAATTTACGAAATAAATTAGAGAAGAACGATTCGGCTTCGTGCAAAAATCCTTCTAAAATTGTGAAAATAGTCAAAGAGAATAGCAACAAGGCAGGCCTCAACATGAACGGCAGGAAAACAAAAAACAATGGCCTCATCAAAACCTACTGGGAAACAACAGACAGAACCGTAAATGGGGAGAGAATCGAACAAGTGCACCAATTCAAATATCTAGGGGCAATTATCACAGACGATGGCAAAAGAGAAAAAGTAGTAAACCTAACAACAGCACATGCAATAAAAATCAAAGCAACTCTCTCTAACTTTAAGAAAGATTATGCTAGAATGCTACATCTTCCCAGTAATCCTATATGGTGCATGGACCTGGACTTTAACTTGACAAAAAAAGGAGAAAACAACATCGTTGCGTTTCAGATGTGGTGCCACCGCAGAATGACCAGTTTTAGCTGGAAAGTAAAAACATGAGCAATGACGTGTGTCAGATTCTCGGCACAAGAAAACCCCTGCTCAATAAAATAAAAATTATGTGGAAAAATAAAATACTTTAGCCATAAAAAAGTACACGAGACCATTGTGAAAGAGGTGCTTGGAGAAAGGATGTGGAGAATTAGAGCCAGCGGGAGACAAAAAGTGACATCGATCGACAACATAAAAACTTGGATTGGCCTGGATATAACTGAATGTGCAACGGCAGCTCGCGACCGTGAAGGGTCATTGCACGTCAGAGGTGACACCTCCTGGAATCCAGATATCTTCCTGATATTGCTAAACACTGTTCTTCTCGTTACTTTGAATAGGGGTTTACTTGTCGTTGCTGTTGTTGCTGCTGCTTCTTGTTGTTGTTTCTGATGTTTGTTGTTGTTGTAGTTATTGTAGAAGTAGTGTTGGTGGTAGCATTTACTGCATCACAGTGGCAGTAGAGGCGGCTTTCCCTTAAGTCTTAACCACAATTTCAAATGCAAAGCAATACAATAATTTTGACAATAGGCTAAAGAGAAACAGATGCACGGAGTATGCGATTATTATCGTACGAGGAAGATAAGATAGTATAATAAAAAAAAGAATGAAGGAAGCAGGTAATAATAACAACAACAACAACAACAACAATAA